GGCGGCGGGGTCTCCATCTCGGCGGCCGGCGCGGAGGCGGTCGAGGGGGGAGGGGTTGGTGGTGGACTTCGGCGAGCCCTGGGGGGAGAGAGTTTGCCGGGTCAACCTGGCGCCCCGGCTCGGGTTAATATGGGTGCGCGGGCCCTCCTGCGGTTTGCGAGGCTTCGTGGCAGCTTCCTGCGCTTGCTTCGCGGGGCCCAAAGGCTGATGAACACTCGCGGCGACACGCGCGCCAGGCCCGAAGTTTCGGCCCCACCGGCCAGTGGCACAGCACGCACGGATGAGGCGATTTCACCGAAAATTACATGTGAATGTGGCATTCTATGGCCCGAAATAACGGCCCCACCGGCCAGTGACGCGGCACGCACGGATGAGGCAATTTCGCTGGAGAAAACATGCGTACAATATACTGCTTACCAACTAAGCGACCCAACAATCCAGCCCTAAACATGTCAACATTTGACTAATTGCATTTCTCTTTTAGCAACGTAACTATATTTGACCGTGTTGCATATAAATGGGTGACCAAATCAAGTTAGTGAAGCAAGCCGACAGGAATACCCATCATTTTAGGAATAAAGTGTTTGGAATGTGAAGCTGCCTTTTGAGGATCAAAGTGCTTGTTTGGCCGGTCCTAGGAAAGAGCATTTTGACGAGTGATGTTCTTTTACATAAAGGGGAGCAAGTGTGAAGAGGAATGCCCTTTCAGTGGGTGTCATGAATCGATCGATCGATCGCCTCTTTTTCACATCCCGAATTGGTAGGTATGCTTTTGGTAACATCGTGAGTTGCGCTCTCGATATCCCGGGTAGATTCATAAAAATGGAAGGGTGTTTCAATGCATGACCAACACAAATTTGAGGTGGGAAGAAGAAATTGGTGACCGATTGACCGTGGGGATGATTTGTTGATGTAGATGATTGAGAGGGCAAGTGCTTGTGTGTTGGCAACACCATCTTTGTAATTTTGGTTTCCCTTTTTTTTCAAAACAGAGGCATAACATTTGCCTCATCTATTAAATAAGAAGAGAATAGAGTTTTACAAGAGCCAACAACACGGCATGGCGATTACTCACGCGATACAATGTTCTTTCATGAATGGTTCAAATGACCAATGCTGTGTTTGTTAACTTTCAATACATTTTACCACTAATACTTCTTATATGTGAAGTCATTACTCCCCTTTGGAACAAGCATATGAAGCATATATAATTTTAAATTTATGATATTCAATTCATTCAACAATTTACTCTTAGGATATAGGTGAAGCGCAAAAGTGAATGACAAAGTGCTCCAAAAGATATAAGTGAAGATCAATGAGTACTCAAACGATTAAGTAGATATATGAGGACTCTCTCCAAATCAAAAGTTTCAGATCTAAGTATTTTATTTAAACAGCAAACAAGAATTAAAAAAAGGGCAGTCCAAGAATAGCACACATCATCTGAACAGACAAAAACTTAGGCTCAACCAAGACTAACCGATAGTTGTTCATGAAGAAAGGTGGGATGCCTACCGAGGCACCCCCAAGGTTAGACGTTTGAGTCTTCCTTAAATATTACCTTGAGGTGCCTTGTAGGGTTAAACAACTCTCATAACTTATTCTTTGTTAGAAAGAAATATTTATTCTATGTTTTTTTTATTTATCTCTTCTAAATTCTTCATTGGTTATATTTTTTCTGCTTTCTTATTTCTTCTTTGAGGAAACACCACTTCTAGATTCCCTTTATTCCGTAAATTGAATTTTATTACTATTTCTTTTATTTTTTTTGTAAATTCTTCTTTGATAACATCACTCCCACAATTCTTTCCTTCTTCGGAAAGAACTTGATCTGTGTTGTTTCTGATTTTCTTCATTTTTTCTTTGACCTAACACCACTTTTGGAGTTATTATTTTTCTTATTTTGAAATGTGTTCATCTTCCTAAGCACTTGCACATTTTACCATCTCAATTTAGTCAGCATTTCGTATTTGTACTCAGATGCATAGGGGTGGAGCTATG